AGACAGCCCCGTTCATCCAACTTTCAAATGCTTTTATACTATTTGAGTGAGTGGGCGTCTGTTCATCTCTGTGTGTGTGTGTGTGTGTGTGTGTGTGTGTGTGTGTGTGTGTGTGTGTGCATCTGCATCTATGTGCAGACAGTCTGGGTGTATGACCTAAGTGTCCCACCAGTCAGGTCATCCTAACCTAAATGTTCTGTTCTCTTGTTTGATTTCCAGAGTTCACCAACTCAAAAACAACTCCTTATACGGAGTTCTTCCTGTTGCAGAAACTGACATCTGATCAATTGTTTCTACGACCTTTTGCAACTGACATCATTTTCACCTTTTGATATAGAATGATACATTATCTGCTTCTACAACCCAACCTGTCGACACAAGATCTGCGACCTGACCTGAAACTGCAGTTTCTATAATAACCCTGCGCTGCTCAAATAATTTGGTCAGGCAGCACATTTAAAGTGTTCATTTTGGGACATTACATACATTTGGTCACCTGAAAAAGTTTTGTTCAGCATTCTACTAAAAGATCCTCTAAGGATTCGGATATTCAGTTTTGTTTTAATGGTTTAAGTCTGTTTTTTTAGCATTAGTATCATCACAGTTAACCATCCCTGTATATGCACCATGCTAACAAAGCTAACAGCTAGCATAAGGATTATCTCCACTCTCTCATCCAAATATGGTCACCTCTGTCTCCACAAATCCAACATGGTGACGACCAAAATGCCAAACTTGAGGAGAATGGGAAAACAGGAGTCCAAACCAACGGGTGATGTCACAGTGGTTACGTCCATTATTTTATGTGGTCTTTTTTATGTAACTCAACATAATCATGTGATCCCTCTTCAGGAAATGGCGGAGCGCAGGGTGTGTATGCAGCACAGAGGTGACGAGGAAACTGAGCTGGATTTTGATGAAGAACTTGTCGCAGGCAGTGAAATCCAGCACTTTCGCAGACAGGTAAACACACCGACTCATAAAACCAGCCAGAAACAAAACGTTCAATGTCCTCTGTGTGAAGTGTGAAGTGTTCTCACAGATACAAGCTCAAACACTTGAATTTATGAAACTTGACATCACATTTTCTTTCTGCCGACACTGAAGCCAAAGAGGAAGAAGAAGAAGTGTTGTTCTGTCTCTTGAGTGCAGAGCAGACAGCGAGCTGTACAGTAGGTGAGGAGGGAGGTGCTTCCACCTTCTGCCCGTCTGCTCGCACCCAGTGTGTGCTGCGCTGTGTGATTGTCACAGGATGCATGGCTTGTTTCATGCATGTTGGATTAGCTGCTACCTCTGTGCTTTATTCAGCAACATGCCAAATGTGATGGGTAAGAATGAACACTGTGCATCACGAAGCAGGTTCACATGTCTGAATGAATCAAGTGTTTTAAGTTGATGGCGTCTGGAATTGACGTTAGTGATTTTGGGGCTGTATCTGGTTAAACATAAAGGACTATCCCTATCAGTGGCAAAAACAAACACTTTTAGTGGACGTACATTGACAGTGCGAACATACCCGAAGTGGTTACATTGCAGCCTGTCACTCAATACTGGACCAATTTCAAAAACCGTTGTTCCCATGAGTCACTTAGACACAAAAACATGGGAACACAGGATTCAGGTAATAAAAAAAATACCAAAATTACTCTTTAATCCAGTCTTAAGGCAGTTTGCTGTGACTTTAAATCTCTACAACCCACAGACTTCCACTCAATCATACGTGCTGCCGTTTTTTGATCCATCTATGGAAAGATCCATAGATATTTTTTTGGTTTTCCAGCTAAACGTCTGACATGTCATTAATATTGTTTAAAGTTCCAGTAATTTGTGCACAAAAATGAATAATTGAAAAGCATGATTTATAAATGGATTTGCACAGATTAGTTTTCTAGTCCTGAGACCTTCTCCACTGCTCACCATTATTCCTCAGTGTGTATAATATGGAGCTCAGCCCTGTAATATACATGTTTTGTTTTTAAGAACAAGTACAAAGGATGCAGCAGAGCCAATGATGCAGGGAAGTACCAAACTAATCAAACTAAATATGAATTACCTTGCATTTTTAACATGTGGTAACCTGCAGAATACCAAGTTCTTAAAGCTACCGCCCTGTTTAGACCTGGTGTTAACATGCACTCTAGGTGATCCAATCACAAGTGGACAGCGCTAAATACAAGTGTAAACGACCACCAAGACGCATTGTCCAATCATTCAGCCATGCATTTGACAACATATCTTTTGTAGCGTAAACACTGATGCGTCCAGAGAAGGACTACGTCATCAGTGCAGGACGTGGTGGTTGTTTTGGCGACAGCACGCTAATCTATCATTTATATTTTATGTCGAGTTGGACAAAGTGTTGCATGATTATCCATCGTTTCTCCCTTTGGAAGGAGACGTGTTAAATTCTGCTGACAGCAATATCTCCAGCTGTACTGACACAACTGCTAACGTGACAAACAAGCGTGCTCCAAAGGTGTGGATGTAAAAATTGTGCACGGGGCAGTAACATAATCTGAGCCACATGGTCAGCTGGAGACGTGTGATCGACACGAGTGTGAACGGCGATGTGTCGCGTCTGTCTGCTTGTGATCAGATCATGCAAAACGCATATTAATACCACGTCTAAACAGGGCCTAAGATGCACTTGTTTGAGTTTGAGGCTCAGAGAACGTACCCAGACAGCAATCCTGTAAGTGAAAGGAAAACATCTAGATCCACTGATCTGGGTTTCCTGGTTGCCACACAGTGACAGCTGTTTGTTGCTCAGTAGTAACACCCTGCTGCAGACTCATTCCCCACACCGTCCCCTAACTGCATGTTCAGTGCTACCCAGCCTGCCTGTAAGAAACCAGCATGTGTCCCGTGATGGTAACTGGGGACATTTGATAACGCTGCTGTGTTGTTTTTTTTTCCAGGATCTATCTAAGGGTGAGAGCTGTGCCGTCATGTGATCACTGCTGTCCGTCTGAAGAACCCGGACCAGCTCTGACCTTGAATACAAACATCTGCTCCTATCTGGCCCCGGTGTTGTCCCGTACAACAAACTCCAGTAGAGACATTTAAACGTCAGTCTGAGTATGAAGACCTCAGACTTTGCCTTAGAGCAACAGTATCGACCTCAGTATTCCTCACTTTGTCTCATCTCTAACTGCACAAGACAAGATACAAGCTTTGCCTTGATTTGATCTCATTTAAATGAATGTGTGTGTGTGCGTGTGAATTTAAAAGTGTTAGCTTAATAAAGTTATAAATACAGTTGGCTCTATGTATTAAAGACTGTTTATTACAACAAATGCAGTTATAGTTGAGTTTGGCGGGAAACGTGTGCTTGAAGGAACTCCCAAGTCAAAATGGCTCACACACATAATAAACTAAATTAATAGCAGGATGGAGTTTTCAGCAGCACGGCCTGAAGGGTCGATCCACCAGTATACCCAACAGAAAAATCTCATTTTCAAACTAGCCATGCAGATGGTGTAGGTTTCATTTGTCCTGCTCACAGCACTGGGAAAAACATAAAATGCAAAACACAACAGGTGTGATTCCTCCAAGTCTTTATGTGGTCGCCAATTTGTGCATATGGTTGCTGAGGGTAAAAAAGAAATTGAAATAAAATCTTAAATATTGCAGCATGATTTTGCGTCTGGCTGCAGTGGCAAGGTATGATAAAGGCTGATGTGAACAAACTGGAATATAATAGGAATCATGGTCCTGCATTTCTGGTTCTAGAAGACATTTTCATTACTGGGCAAAAAGTAAGAGGCAATGGTATGGACGCCTGTTTCTGCCAGTAGGGTGAGAAAAATTAAGATTTAGTAATTCTTCATATTGAGGAACTTTATCAAAAACTTTATTTCAAAATAGTGAGAAATAGTGTCAATACTGTGACACTATTGTAGGGTTAGTATTGGTACTTTAACTAAACATTTACTCAATGATATGTTTGATAAACAGACAACACTTTCTATATTACAATATCCGAAATCTAAGAGGATCTCTAGTCTCATATCATGATATTGATATCAAGTAGATATATTGCCTAGCCCAAATAATCAATGTTGTATCTCAAAATGAGAAACAATTTCAAAATAATGACGTAATATTTCAACATAATGAGAAATGGTACCAAGTCCTTTTAAGAAAGTTTCTCATTATTTTGAGATGCAAAGTAATTTTGTTAAGAAATCTTCTCATTTTGAGGGATTCTTATTCTCTACACTTAGTCATAATGTTGGGAAAGTTTCTCAAAAAAAAAAACAAATAAAAAGATTAAACATTAAACTGGCAGACATGGGCCTCCATACAGGGCAGAGTGAGGTAGGTGTAAAACAAAGAACAGGTTTGATTGCACTTCTTCGGTTTATGGCCAAATCCCTGCAGAACTAACCACATACTGATCAGCCTCAGCTCTACTTTGTTACTAGTGCTCATTAGCTTATGTTAGCATGCTAATATGCTAAACTAAGATGGTGAACATGGTCAGCATAACTTGCATTCTAGCGTTAGCATTTCGCTAAAAGCTCTGCTGTGGCTGTGTACAGCACCACAGAGCTGTGAGCATGGCTGTAGACTGATCCAGTACAGCTCAGTGTGAGTGTTCATGTCCTGCTGCCACTCAACATGACTCAAGTTCACCAGGAACACCAAAAGAAGTGGAGCTGTTGTGTTTAATCACAGCTTCTTGGTTTGATCCCAGGTGGGGAGTCCTTGTAACATGTCTCATAATGTCTCTGTCATTGTGATGATGATTAAACACAACAGGGATGAAGAGATGCTAACAGGTGGGAAGCAGCAATTAAACTTCATGATGTGTCAGTGGCTGGTGCTCAAATAATGTCATCATGTCCCACTGCCCTGAGTTTTATTTTGACAAAATTAAAATTAAAAATGTTTAAATGAGAACATAACTATGAACACTTTTCATGGAGATTATTTCTTCAGACAGTAGATCCAATGATTTGTAATGAGCTTTGTGGAATATCCAGAAAGACTTTATTGCTCTATGATTTTTTAATTTTTTTTATTTAATAAGTCATCTCATTTGTTTTTCCAATTTTGAGCATCACAAATAAAATTCCAGTCACCTCCCACTGTATCAAGGTGGAGGCAGAAATCTCAGATATGGCAAAACCCAGACAACTAAAACCCCAAACTATCTGCATGGACAGATCCCACTGAACCCTTTAACATCAGCTGTGGTGTGTGAGTTATGAGCAGAGCTTCATAAAATGTTTGTCCATGAAAGAATGACTCGACAGCTGATGAGCTGTCACATGGATGACGTGTTGAAATGAAAGCATGGCTGAGTTCAGTTCTTCTCATCGTTATAAGTCAAACACACTTGCATTGCAAAGTCACAACAGATTGTCATGAATTGGAAATCTTGAGCTTATTCCATGAGGAGGAAAAATAACTGACTCGTAGGATTAGTCCAGAACGCTTCATTGTCTTCAGGAGGTGATGACACTGATTGTCACTGTGGATCCTGAACAATCCACAGGTGCCAGAATGATCCTTCTGATTTCGTCGCTGCAAGACTCACAGGTTGTGAGAAGTCTTAGATTTGCTCCTTCCATGCGATAGTTCCCAGCATAAGGTTACAGAGGCTGGTCTGTCAGTCCTCCAGCTCTTGAAGGAGTCCATTCTTACCCTGGTTTCAGCTCTGCAGTTACATCAGGATTGGAACGTGTTGTGGTCTTCGTTCCCTTCTTTCCTTATCTCTGAGGTACGTTCATTGTCGTAGACTGCAGTCTCTACACCATAGTCTCTTTGTTGGTGGCTTTGCCGAAGGTGTTTATGCACAGGACGTGTTGGTTGGATGTGGCGTGAGGGGGCGAGGGAATCTGCAGTCGCACTCTCTGGTCCGTCTTCTTCCACGTCCTGAACAGATGCATGTGGTAGCGCACAGATACCTGAGAAACAAATAAGACATATCTCAGTACAGCTGGGAAAGGTCAAAGGTCAATTTTTTTTTTTTGTTTTTGGAAACAGCTTACACAATTTTATGTCAGTTTAACACAACTTTTTTGTTGTTTCAGCATTTAATACAAAAGTACAAGAAAGTACAAAAAATATACTGTAGCAAGCTCAGGTTTCTCAAGTGCTAGAATAAGACAGAGATGAACCAGGAAGTGCTCTTTATTTTGCTTCAGCACAACTTCCTGTTGGACACACAGGTGGAAGGTCCCTAACTGTGTGTACGACTTCACTCATGGTGCAAAATGCCAGTGCATTTTATGATCTTGCAGCTCACGGTGGTGGTTTAACTCATGACAGGATGGCACTATTGTAAAGGATCATAAAATAAGCATGACATGTCTGAATGAGAAGAACAGACCCTGAACGTACCACGGTCCAGAAGACGTATATGGTGAAGAGGGCCAGCGTGAGGACCAGGAGCCCCAGGGCCTCCATGCCGTTAGTGTAGTGGAGGTCCATGGCTCCCTGAACACACAGCCACCCTGACAGGCTGGCCAGTGGCGTGATGAACAGGAAACACACTGCGTCACCACACAGCGTCCTCCTCTGCTGCTGCATGGATGGAGAGCACAACCACTGGGAGGAGAAGGAAGAGGGAGAAGGCAGGTTAAGACCACTGACATGACACCTGGGGTGGAAAATATTGTATTTGTCCAGCAGGTGGTGCTAAAGAGCCGACTCCTGTGAGCTGCTGCATGCAGTAAGTAGTATTAGTAAAGGCACAGTAGTCATAAAAACCCTAAAATACCTGGTACAGGAATATTACTATCAGCATATTATGCATTAATATATAGCAATACATATGACAGTATTTTACTGTTATATCAAGCAAATATAAAACTATAACACACAGTATCCAGTGTCACACACTGTCAGAGGTAAATCATGGACATTAGTGGTGACTGCTGGTTAAGATAAGCAATATCAGACGGGACAAAGGACGAGCTGTAACGCTTAGTGCTGCATTTAGTGATGCAAACCTCGGCCCTGATGGAAGCACCTGAAACTCAAAATGGAGGCAACAGACTGAGCTTTGGAGGTGACCGTCTCTCTTCTGCTGTAGGTTATTACAGCACAACTGAACACAACTTGTTTTTAAGGCTCAGATTGTTAAATGTTAAAAGAAAGAACGGACTCAATAAAAGCAGAACATTTTCATGATAGTCCTCTCTACATCAAAACTCTTCTCTGCACAGCCAACAACAGGTGCTCAATCATTCTCATGATTGTGCTCACGTTGAACGTGTGTGGGAGTGAGTTCACCAGACCCCTTATTCATGAGGATGATAAAGTCCCACCAAAACAGGTGCAACAAAGCTAACAGGGCAGAGATATAAGAAGACCTCTAATCTGTGATGTATCAGCCATGTTTATGCACCATGTGTGTGCAGGGCCTGCTGCTTAGACAGACTTGGACAGAGCTGACCTCCACAACAGACACACTTAATTGTACGACATCACTAACGTGTTGTACCTGTGTTTCTGTGCATGTGTGCGCATGTGTCCAGCGTTGCCTGACAGCAGGCTTATGCTGCTCACTGTGTAGCTTAACCTGGTGGAGAACGTGGTGCTTAATCAGCAGATTACTGGCTGTGACTGCAGGAAGAGCAGGAAGACAAGGAGGAGGAGAAGGAGGAGGAGGAGGGCTCTAATACACTCTGCTGCTCTGTGCTCTGCAGAGCAGCATGGGGAAGGAAACACCATCTAATCTGGCTCTCAGGCTAAGTGGCTTTAGGGGTACAAGCGGTCCAGCTAACAGCAGCAGGTCCTCCAACGTGAAGGCAGCAACTCGCCAAGAGGCTCCTCCCACAAACACTGACTTCTGCTGTCTCATTGAAAAAACAGAGCAGACCTGCTGGATATCAGGTGACAGTGTGTTTGTCACATGTTTGGTTGATGGTTGGAAGGTAAATCTGTGTTTCAGTTGGGCTTATTAAAGAGTTAAAGTTTTGAAAGTTATTATTTAATTTATTTTACTTTTCAGAGTCAGATGAGAAAATTTCTGTCAATCTAACATCTGTTAGAGGGTGTAATTTTGCAGCCAAGCCACCAGAAAAAAAAAGTTGATATTGTGCATCCTGCAAACCAGAAATATGCTTCATTTGCCCTGTTCATACACATTATATTAACATTTCTAAAGTGACAGTATCAGAGCTGACGCTGGATGGATGTTGGATGGCTTGCCAGGCTGCAGACCACTAGTCAGGACCAACAACAATAAAAGCAGATGTTTTTTAGCGACTTGTCACTGGTTTTCCAGCAGGGACAGATTCACACTGAGACATTACTGCCTCACGCTGGGATAGCACCACAAAAAGCAGTTGTTCCTAACCAAAACTTCAATGTATTTCCTGCTGATATATTGACATGAAAAGCAATTGTTTTTTACTGAGAGACAGAGAGCTTCTCCGGCCATAATTGTGCCATTAAACTGTTTTTGAAGCCCAAACAGGATGTTTCTCTAACCATAACCAAATGTCTTTGTGCCTAAATCTGACCACAGTTTTGTTGAAACACTGAAACCTAACTTTCTATATATCTGCTACATTAAACACACAAATGTAATGTATCCACAGTTGAAATGTACAATGGATTGGTTGTTGAACTTTGGACAGAGGCCAGCTCTTTCCAATTCTTTGCTACTGTTTCCTCTCTCAGTGACAGCTCTGAACAGTAGCACGCTGGCTTATTAACATTAATTTTAGCTTGGCTCATTATTAGCTGGTAACTATCTTCAAGCAGTCCGCACCACTCTGAAGAAGGACGGATGGCGAGGCGTTCACAACAATGGCTTTATCACAGTCTTCACCACAAAACAATAAACATGGCCTTCTCATGAGGTTAAGACGCAGCCCTGAGCTCATCTAGACACCTAATTCTGCTGGCTGTCATCGCTCTTTGCCGCCTGCCGTCTTCACCATGACACCAAGAGAGAGCTGCCTCTCTCCACACACACACTATAAAGTATACATCACACCCTCACAGGTTACCCACGAGGCCACTGCCATTCCAGGGGAAAAGGGTGAGCCGGTAACACTAACTTCATCCTGTCTCTAGCTCTGATCTTAACTCACAGACATGATACTGACAATAAAGAGGGAGACTTAGGTGCATATTTAAATAAATATTTAAAAAAAATAGTAGTAATATCACACACAGCAGCCAAACTCAACCAAAGGGACAAAGGTTACATGCAGGTAGGAGAAAATGGGACATGTAAGGCTCAGATTTCCTGTAAAATAAAGTCTAAAAAGCCTTCAAGTCTTAAAGCATGGCGGACTCTTCAGAATTCTGGCCTTGAATAAATGTTTGCACCAAGAACACAGCAGGCAGAACAATTTACAGACAGCGAGCTACAGCTCCTGAACAATGAGGTGGTGGAGGCACTCCTCAAAACTTCAGACAAGGAATTTAAACATGACAGAGAGAAACAGTATTTTGGGATTTAACTATCAAACCTGTCTGTGACGTCTGTGCACTTCAGTTACCATCAACTCTCTGAGGACACTAATAACATCACTGTATCTGTGTGTGGCTGATCTTTGTGAACTGGACTGTTTCTGCAGTGAAGCTCATTTGCATATAAAGGGGCCAATTTAAGAACTCAACGCTGAAAAGCAGTGTCTTAATGAGCTGTGTGTAGTCATGAAATAATAATGCTGTGTGTTAAAAAAAAACCTACCTCAGTGAGAGGTTTTGGCAGGCGCTCCAGTGCAAACTGGTGGTGGCAGAGTTCACAGTGGCTGCTGTTGGAGGCGGTGAGCCAGTGCTCCAGGCAGGCCCGGTGCACCATGGCCAGGCTACCAGAGCACTCGCAGGGCGACAGCAGCTCCCCTGACGCCCTGTCTTCATGGCAGATCCTACAAAATGGCTCCTCGCTGCACAGACTGGCACAGAGAGAGAGAGAGAGACATGTCAGAGGATGGTGGAGTGTTTGTGAGGATGTAAACATTCACCTCACTGGTGTGGTGATGGTAGTTTTATGGGACCCTTCTTAGACATTTCCCTGTTTCTGTGTGATCCCACGTTGTTGTTTAACGTGGACCCTCTAGCTTCAATAGTCAAGAATTTACTCTGTATTTAAATTCCTCGATCACCATGGAGGCACGTGAGAACGCCAAAGTTTCCATCCAGAATTTCAACCTAACACCGAGTGAATAACTGATATACAAATGTTTATTTCGGAGCTGAACTCTTCCTTTAGGACAGAAATCCTTCCCCAGATGTATTTGTACATGGATGCAGTGAATCTTCCCATGAAACAGCTCGACAGAAGCGATAAGACTATTGTGTTACCTGTCAGTGTTTGGTGCACATCCCTCAGCAGGCATGTCTGTGTTATAGTGTGTTGCTTCTTGGTTGCAGTTGTTGAGTTCCTCCTCCAGCCTGCGTTCAGGCGTTAACTTGACCTCCCCCACAGGGCTGGACACCCACGGGCCCAGGGGCTCCTCTGCTGTCATGTCTGCTATATGAGGGGCCATTCACTCATGTCAGGAGCGTCACATCTGTCAGCAGACACAGACCAGGACGAACACGTCAGAATTGATTCAACGTGATACTGATAATAAGCAAAGATGAAGACTAAGGTGCACAAACAGTAAGTTTTCATTGACAGGTCAAACTCTGTGGTGTAGTATATGAATATACCATTACAGAAATTTTATTGTGAAATATGTGGTACATTTAATTTGTCACAAACTGGCTCAGTGAATGTGACAAGTACAGAGTCCACACAAAAGATTTAGTTAAAAAAAAGCACAGTTTATTTAACTAAAATGAACTTAAATAACCAATGGAGTGTGTAGGTCTGAGTGAGTGAAAACACGAGGCAGGTGAGGTCATTCAAGGCAACGACTCTCCCATGTCAGCCAACTGCCTGATGAGGCTGGAACATCCTCCAAAACAGTGGGCGGGACGTCACGAATTATATAACAAATATTACAGTTTGGCCCTTTAATTCAGTTTATAACATTAGATGTGCAGAAGTCATAATAATGTCTGTGAATATCACCTGTTCAAAAATGTTAATGTGAATTTAGGAAACATCATTCATCATTAATTAAGACTGAAAAACACTGTTAAAAAGGTCACTCTGTCTCAAAGGGACAGTTCACAGCAAAATCCAAAATGCATATTTGTCCTCTTACCTGTCGTGCTGTTTATCAGTCTAGATAGTTCTGGTGTAAGTTGCCGAATATTGGAAATATTGTCCACAGAGATGTCTGCCTTCTCTCCAATAAAATGGAACTAGATGACACTCAGCTTGTGGTGCTCAAAGTGCCAAAAATATACATTTGAAAAACTCAACAGCAATGTCTCCTTCCAGAAATCATGACCTGGTTACTCAAGATAACCCACAGACCTTGTTGTGAGCAGTTTCATGAAGGAACTATTTCATTTACAGCCCTTAATTTTACTGTTTGTTTCACTTTCATCGCTTCACGTCGCTCACATCTTGCACATCAACCTCATCTCCAGCAGCTGTCAGTGGACAAGCTAATATAACTCCACTGTAAAAAAGGTCTAACAATGTGACACAACAAACTGTCATGTACCAAAGAAAATCAGCCAGTGCAGCCAGAAATATTTAACTGTTTCTAATAACAAATAAACTTTCCAAGGTTTTAATTGCTCTAATTCTAGTGCAGCACCCTGTATTATGCTTGCTTGTTTCATACAGAAATTCATATAAGAAAATTAGATTTTTAGGACTAGATTTGAGCTGTAAGTGCAGCTACCTGTGTCTCCTGCATCTCATGCAACAGACAGATGACTCCCACTCATAACATTTGTACTTCAGCTTGTTCAGGTCAACAAACAGCTCACTTTGTTTGACATAATATGCACATATCAGACCCTGACGAGCTGACGAGCCCAGGTAGTGACACGTGAAACACTGAGCCAATCACACACACAGTAGAGGCAATGACAGCTAAGACAGCAGGCTGCAAACAACAAGTCATTTTGTGAATCGGTCTTACCAGCAGCTTGATATCCACAAACACTGTGTGACGGTGTGTGTGCTCCCGTACAGTGACCAGCAACCTCTGTTTATAGAGTCTGTGTGGGGAAGCTTCTCCTCCTAAAGCCTGCCAGCAGATTAGCATGGCTGACGGATGGGGGTGAGAATAGTGAGGGATTAGCCAGAGGGGAAAGTAAGGGCCAGGCCAGACAAATGGAAATCACATCAGAGTGAGTTACACCAAGTGGGAGCAGCACCTCACCATACCCCCCCTTAATCCTGTTAGGGGGCTACCAGGCAGCAGAGCGAGCCTTTCACCGGCCTCCCAGCTCCTATGGTAATGTGGGCTGAAGTCGGCAGCACAGATGAGGAAGGGCATGAGACTGTGTTGTTGTTGTGTTTGGTTTCTGACAGGTATGTGTGTGGAGGAGAGAGCGCCTCGCTCTTTGATTTATGCTCCAATCAGAGGTCTTGAGATGGAAATCAGATTGCAAGTGCGGACAAACAGAAAAACAAATGGTGCAAGAAATAACTGTCTTCTTTTTAGAATTGATTTGAATGTCCATCTGCTTGTTTATAAAGCTTTTAGATTTATCAGATGAGCACAACTGCAGTCATGAAAAAATTGGAGATGTAACTTTTTTTTGTAACGCCCAGTGGAAATTGTCAGTATAACCAGGCAGTAAAGAGACAAGCAACAAAATCATTGCAGACTCTCAACACCTCTTCTTCTCTGAATGCAACCCTCTGCTGTCAGGAAGCCAAAGTACAAATCAAAAGCTTGAAGTGATCGTTTGTTTCAGCCTCCATCAAGCTGCTGAACTCTAATGCTAAATCTTACTGCAATGCACGATAGAAAAACAAGTGCTTTAGCATTTAGCACTGTAATTCTTACAGGTTCTTTCTTAAGATGTCCTGCTGTCAGTTTTGAATGTATCTCCACAGTGATGACGGTGTTGGCAGCCGAAAACAGGCTGGTTTATTTGGCCCAATATTGGGGTGTCTTTCCTCCTTAATCTCAGTTGAGTTGGGCAACTAGATGTAGCCCAACTTATTTCTTCAGGCATGTCAGGTTTGGGCCAATGCTGGGCCAGCTGATTTTTTTTATAACAACCCAGTACTGACAGTGTCTGAAACCAGAATTGGAAAATGTCAAAAGAGCTCCAGCAACACTTGTGGTATGGAAAACATCTTTATTGACTGACACGTTTCGGCTTGTGGTCTTCATCGGGGTCCACAAGCCGAAACGCTCGGTCAGTAAAGTTGTTTTCCATACCACAAGTGTTGCTGGAGCTCTTTCGACATTTTCCAGTGTTTCCTCGTTCTCCATGCACCCTGTGAATCGGTGAAGTTGTGCCACAAACCACTTTCTACCTCATGAAACCAGAATTGGGCCAGGTTATTTGGCATCCGGGGCATCATTCATTGCAAATCCCAGCTGAGTTTGGTCTGGTGTTGGGCCACATCATTTTTTGGTAACGGCCCAGTGATGACAGTGTCAGCAGCCAGTATTGGGCCAGGTTATTTGGCTCTGGAGCACCATTTATTCCGAATGTCAGCCATGTTGGGCAACTGGACGTAGCCTAACTTATTTCTTCCGGCGTGCTCGGTTTGGGTCAATGATGGACGAGATCCTTTTTTTTTTTTTTTTGCTAATGGCCCAGTGATGGCCATGTTGGCAGCCAGAAATGGGTTCCGTTTATTTGGCCCGATTCTGAGGTATCAATCACTCCGAATCTTAGCCTAGTTGGGCAAACTTATTTTTTCTGGTGTACAGTGCCAGTGGTGATGAAAGCCAAGTGATGATGGTGTTAGCAGCCAGAATTGGGCCAGTTTGTTTGAAATCTGAGGCTTCATTCATTCCAAATCTCAGCCAAGAAACCGCACACAGCCCAACATATTTCTTCAGGCAGGCTGAGTTTGGGCCGATACTGGGCCAGGTCTTTTTTTCATAATTTTTTGTTAAAAGCCTAGTGATGGCAGTGTCAGCAGTCAGAATCTGGTCAGTTTATCTGGCCTGATTCTGTGGTGTTATCCATCCTGAGTCAGCTGAGTCAAACGGACTCAGTCTGACTTATTTCTTCCCGCATGCCAGGTTTGGGCCGATGCTGGACCTGGTCACCTTGGTTTTGTTTGAAGACATTTTCATAATTGTTTTCGTGATGTTTTTTTAATGTGAAACAAGGGACTGTAGCACTGTGCCTAAGACACATTTGCCCTTGGGGAAAATAAAGTTTACTCTACTCTGCTCGTAGTTTTCAATCCCACAGTTGAAAACGCAGGCACACATTTAGTGTTAACAGTCTGCCTAATCTCATGCCTCCTTGGTCAGTCCTGCTCCATATCCATACGTACTTTAACTCTTCCTCCTTAAAATAACTTTGTTTTAGGATAGAAATATGAATAATCTCAGTAACATCTGTAGTTGTTCAGTAGGATGTGGTTGTTCCGTCTTAATAAAATGTTTTTGTTGTTTCAAACAACAGGACTTAGACTGAGGCTCAGAGAGAGCAGTGAATCACGCTTCACTGCCTGCTAATGACACATTGTCGAGGAACTTATTGAAGTCTTGGTCGGATGATGAAGACAGCCTGAAGTAGAGACACATTCAATACACCTCCAACAGAGCAGTACCTCAGAAACTCCCCAAACCCTCAGGACAACTTCTGAATCCTCAGCCAGTGTCTCACTTCTTGTATGATGCTGAATCCAGTACAAGCCCAACAACAACAATGCAGAATCATTTGGGGTAGTCGTTTTTGCAGTGAAAATATTTTTAAAAATATGTCTCTGTTATGTCTCATGATAAGGAACTTTAAAATGAAAATGGTAATATCTTTGTACCCTGCAGCAGTCGTAACCAGGAAGTCAACAGATTTTGAGTTACACTGACTGAACAGAGTGAAACATGTCTGTGTGCAGCAGGTTCAGAGCCGAGCCTCTGCTCTAAAAGAAGCTTTTCCATTCATATTTATAGTCTGGTCTCTCTGTAGCTCAGATAAAAGTCCTGCTGAAAAATACCTCCTGAACACAGAGGAGAAAGAGAGGGTCTTTCTGTGACTGGCGGAGCACCAGTCCCTCACTTTCTCCCTCTTCGCCTCTAATCCTGTCTGTTATTCATTCCCAGGCTGCTCTTGACAAAGCCCAGAGGGAACGCACATCAGTGGGAATTCCATCATGAACAGACTGAGAGGGTGGATAATTCCTTTGACATCGGCAGGACGGCGGCACACAGAGCCCCAGACGTGCTGGATAAAAACATATATACACTGGGCCCCGTCACGCTGCTCTGGAGAAAAGCCACTTCCTGTCCTCTCAGTGGCCGGCGCTGGGTGCAGGCTCATCGGACGCTGCCTCTGGCTGCAGGTCTGGGTCGGCTGATGTTGTGTCTGAGCTTTAGTCAAGGTCTATTTGCGATCGGCGGACCCTTTAACCCCCCTCCTCCATTTGCATTGTGCTAGATGGGACTGGGGCCCTCTAATCATGCCAGGAGCGAGGGGCCACTCTCCAGTCTATCGATCCCTCGCTTCATCAGGTCTCATAGCAGCCATTAAAAGATGTTAATCCAGCGTGTGCCTCAGTCTGGATCGATAGGAGACAAAAGCACCGTTGGAGGCTGTCTGGACTTTAACCCACACATGTGCCTCATGTGTTACCTGTGCGCCATCGTCATCATGATAAACACCTGCTCCTGAGCAGTACAAATATCACTTAGTAGAAGTAAAAATAAGACGTAAAGGGTTCAGTGTGCTTCAGATAATGTAGTTCGTACAGTGAAAGCAACATATGAAGGAGACATGACCTGATGATGTGGCAACCTTTAGTCCTGGTCCACATGTTCACAGGTGTTTTTGAAAACAAGGTTTTTCCTACTTCAATCTCAAAAAATGTCTAAAAAAAATCTGTTAAAATGAAAACTCAAAAACATAATTAAAGCGCTGACAAGAAGAATGCCAAACCAGCAGGCTGTGATATCCTCCTGTGACCCCAACTTTTGTTTGGTATGCATTTTTAATTTCCTCTAGCTATCTGGGATCAGTAGGACCTGATAAGTATAAAGAAAACTAAACATTATCAGCGATGATTAGTGAAGAGTTCTTTCTAATTAATAGTGTCTTATCTTATTACTGTTTCTAAAATTGGTCAAATTTGTTGCCATATCAATCTACAAACATTATTTATCATTAATAAACAAGTTTCAACCATAACATGTGATCAGGTTTTGGACCTTGTCCACTTTTGTGTCAGGATCAGCTGCAGACTGACTTGGGAGAGATGGCAGCCATCTTGTTTTTCCATGGATTAGTATATTGTGCTCCTGCTACCACTAGATGGCACAAAAAAAAATGTCCACGAACAAGGACAACAGACTTTAGTTCAGTAGAATGAAGTCTAAGGTCAAGTAAACTCAAAATGTGATGTCCTCATATGAGGTCACAGGGTCTCAGCAAGATATAACCCTAACCTTGAAAACATTTTGGCCCAATCAGGCAAAGAAGAAGGAGATATTGGACAATGAGATGCTTGAAAAAAAAACAGAGGCTACCTGGAGCAACAGCATTTGGTCAAGGACTTTTTTTAGTCCAGATACGACATGCAAGGTACCCTGGGTGTGTTGGTTGTTGACGTTCTGGGACGCGTGTCAACTTCTGGCTGTTACATTCATAGTCTCTTTTCAAAATAAACTTCTGTTTTCACAGGAAATTTAACATCTACATACAGTCTCTTTAAAAATAAAAGCACTACGTCGGTACAACACCATAAATTGGCGTTTTATTTCCTTTAACAACAAACACACGTGGTTGGGTTTAGGAAAAAAAGAACAGGGTTTGGCTTTAGAATCTTATGGGATGTGAATACCGCTCTGTCGGGTAAAAGTTAGTGTTTGTTGGACCCATCCACCACAACTTCCACCCACCCAAGTAGAACTTTCACTGTCTAAACATTCGTTCTAATCACACCACGTTTCCCCCTGACGCCACCGGGCGCATGTCAAGCACCAGATTTCGATGACTTCAGAGTGAGACTGGGCTCACTTATTTATTTATTTGTGGCATCCAGCCATAATTTAAAGACATCTGCTGCCAAGTTCCGATTCTTGTTTTTGGAGCTGCATCACTTCAGAAACATGGCATGAAATGATACTATAAAATGAAAAAATATGAAACGCATATTTGTGGTTTTCCGAAATATACAATGCCAACATTTTCCTCTTCTGACCGAGCTGAAAATAAAACAAAACTTGCTTTTGTGTGTCCTCACGAAGAAAGAAGAAGATATACTTTATTAATCCCTGAGGGGGAGGCCTGAAATACACACACATGCACTAACAGGACCTATACATGCATTAAAAGGAGAGATGTCAGAGTCAGGAACAGGCGCCCCGAGCAGTTGGGAGTTTGGTGCCTTGCTCAGGGGGACCTCGGTTGCTGCAACTAGTTCTGAAATTGGGGTTAACAAGGCTTTCCGACAGTCTGCTCTTAGAGGTGTCACTTGTTTGTACATAAGAACAGAGATGGATATAGTTGTGTGTAGATTAAAAAAAGAGTGCCTGAGAGAGAAGTTAAAATCTGCGTTAGCTAATCACTGCAGATTGTCTGTTTCAGAAAGTCCCAAAAATTGTCTAATGTAGCCCGCCTGTTCGACACACTGTTGGATGATCCACAAAATACTTATTTTGATGCACACGGAGGCCTTCAGAAATAAAGTATAGTGTGTTTAAAAGACATTTCTATCTAATTCTTCACTAAATGTTTGTGTTGGAGACAGAAATAGCAGGTGGGCAGAGCTCTGAGACAGAGACTCAGACGAGGCTTGGCAGCACTGTTTGAAGTAAAGAAAGGGGTCACTGAGTGTTTTATCTGGGGACATAATGATTTGATGCTCGCAGACCTTTCAAGGGTCTTTTTTTAAAACACAGATAAGAGGATTGGCAAGTGGCTGGAGAGGAGCAGTCAAAACAAGCCCTGCAACACAAAACCTCAGCAGACAGCAGACTGAAGTCTGGAAAAGCCCGCTCAGTCGTCCTGACACAAACTTCCTGACGTGGTTTTGTAAATGACAGTGTGTGTTATCCAGTGAGCATGCTCTAATGTACAGGTCATCATTTAAAATACGCCTCTCCATTAAAGGAAGAGCCCATTTGCTTTCAGAGGACTAATCTGTGAAGAATGCTCTATCAGTCGGCACTATCAGCAGGTCCTCCAGCAGAGGAAGGGTGATGTCTCTGGGTTTTAAAATGGATCCTAAAGACGAGAGAGAAGCGAGTGCGTCAAGTGACTCATGTCAAGTGGACATCCTTATCTGTGAAAGATGGGGTGGCTCTCTCTTGCAATGGCTCCACTGCTCTCAAGGGAGCCGGGCAGTGCTGGAGAACATTCAAGCAGAGAGGAAGTCTACAGCAGGCTGCAGCCAGGGAGGGAAGGTGCTCGGATTTTAGAAAAGAAATCAAAAGTTTTAAGAACTGAATAAAAAACACAAGCTCAGAGGGGAGTGCAGATTAGGCAGGACAGTGACGATTGGGTCTTCTGCGAGGTTTAAGATGTCAGCGAGTCCAACAGGGTAGAAGCTCAGGAGGAGGAGAGGTGGATCGGTCCAGAGTAGACTGCTCCTCTCCAGGCAGCTCGTCCCTCCTCGAGGCAGCCGGCAGCCACAGGCCACCATGACGGAGTGGACCCTGCTCAAACGTCTCCTGGATGCTGTCCACCAGCACTCCACCATGATTGGACGCCTGTGGCTCACTGTCATGGTCATCTTCCGGCTGCTCATTGTCGCTGTGGCGACTGAGGATGTGTACACCGACGAGCAGGAGATGTTCGTGTGCAACACGCTACAGCCGGGATGCTCCACTGTCTGCTACGACGCTTTCGCACCCATCTCGCAACCTCGTTTCTGGGTCTTCCACATCATCAGCGTCTCCACGCCGTCGCTCTGCTTCATCATCTACACCTGGCACAACCTGTCCAAGCTGCCCCACAACACCACCCAGAGGCAAAGGCAAGGACTGGGGGATATCCCAGGGCAGGGAGGCCCAGATGTGGGGCAAGGTGGAGAGCGGGAGGTGTATGATCGGAGCTGCGACTCAGACAGCTGCTCCATCCGCTCACATAAGCATCTCGGTCACAGCCTGGCGGACGTGCTGGAGGGCATCAACATCCAGAGCCTCCAGAGGGCAGACCCCAACAACATGGTGTCCTTGAGCCATGCCCGAGATTGCACCCTCAAGGAGGGGACCGCAGAGGGTCATGTGGTCTCTGGAGGCGTTCTGTCAAAATGTTATGTCTTCCATGTGTGTTTACGGGCTGTCCTGGAGGTGGGCTTCGTCCTGGCCCAGTGGAAGCTGTTTGGCTTCCAGGTGCCCGTCCATTTCCTCTGTACCTCGGCTCCCTGCAGCCAGCCGGTGGACTGCTACGTCTCCAGGCCCACGGAGAAGACCATCTTCTTGCTCTTCATGTTTTGCGTCGGGGTCTTTTGTATCCTCCTCAACCTGCTGGAGCTCAACCACCTGGGCTGGAAGAAGATCCGTCAGGTGGTGAGGCTCAGGGAGAGGGCGTCCTGGAGAAGTTGTCCAGGAATGAGGGGGGGATATGAAACCTTCCCTCCAGACAGCCCCTCTCTCACATCCTCTTTAGGCTTCAGAGATGTGACCAACACCACCTCCCTGCCCACTCTGGACCTGGTGGTGGGTCACCAGCCTGACTGGACCTGTGCTATCAACTGTGGCAGGATGAGGGGGCCTGAGGAGGTCAGAGGGACCAGAACAGAGCAACCAAAGAGACAGGACTCACATAAAGGAGAGAAGCAGCCTCTGAAGAGTAAGAAGGCCATCAGAGAGTCCAAACAGAGGAGTGCTGAGGTCTGGATATAGTCAACGAGCACGGGGAAGCATGTCGCATGTCTATTTGTTTGACCTGCGGATCTCATGTTGGAATATAAAGACTCAGTGTGTCATATTTTGGAGGATATACTGTCAGAAATGGAATATAATAAAATACGTATGTTTTCTATAGTTTATAATCACCTGAAAATAAGAATCATTGTGTTTGTGTTACCTCAGAATGAGCTGGCTTTGGATGGGGCCATGTTTCCATGTCGGTCACCATAGTTGGCAGACCCTCTGAAATGACAGTTGTTTTTTTTTTTTACGTGAAACTGTTTTATCCAGTGTTTTTACCAGTTTTAATCACCAGGGTCTCATTTATAAACATTGCACACGCACAAAACTAGGCCTGAAAGAGGCGTACGCCACTTCTCACGTAGAAGTTGTGATCTATAAAAACAGACTTGATGGGAGAAACTTTGACCCATGCTTACAAACATTTTGGAGATGGGAAATTGGCGACACAGATGGTGAGGTAGAAGCCTGAGTGTAGAAACTGTCAGACATTTTTCAGCCATGCCATTTTTGGCTTTTGTCTTTACATACATTGTAAGTATGGACCCAATGCATTGTTTTATAAATGAGACCTCTGGTCCGTTTGTTTTGGGGAGGACGAGACCTCTTCAGATGATTCAGCTCCTGATTAAAACCTCCTGAACATCTGGATCTTAAGTTATCAGAGAAAAAAGGTGAACACATAACAGGTGCAGGGCTGGCAACTCGTCTCCGACCATAGACTGTGTCTGAAGATGGACGACTTGACAGCTCCTCAAAAGTGAAGCTGAAACATTTTGGTTGCCCCCTGGTGGCTGGCTGCAGTATAGGTCATAAAGCCTGTGCTCTCCATATAAGTAGATGGGACACAGGCCAAACTAAAAACTCAAAGCAGATCTATACATCATATACATTTCTCCCAAACATGGTTTCTGACATTTATGGTAGTTTTAGTATGCTGCTGTTTGTTCAAGTGTTTGTTGTGTCTGATAAATCTGGTTTTAATTAGTTATTTAATTCTATAAAACAAGGATTTTACCACATGAGGTGGGAAACTTGCTGCCACAGACATCAGCACATTCTCACTCTTACCTCGTCACATCATCAAGCCGATGTGAAAGGACGCCTTTTTTTTTTGTCTGTGTGTGACTCCAGAAGTCACAGCCCAAGCACCGGTATTCAACCACTTCAGACTGAGTTGCAGAGATCACCTCAGCTTCACTTCTGTACAGTCAGGGTAAGTGGAGACGCATTGTCCATCTTTATATACAGTCTCTTACAGGCATGTCTCTTACATGCCAAACAGCATTGGAGAAACACTGGTTTGTAACATAAAACAGCTCATTTGAAGTTTAAATCGCCTGGTCCGTTTGTATTGGAGAGGAGGAGACCTCTGTGGAGAATTCAGCTTCCAGTAAAAAATAATGAAACAATGAACAACAATGAGCTTCAGCTGGTTGGAGTCTGTGATCCTCACTGCTAGATGCTGCTAAACCACCCTAAATTTTACACACTGATCCTTTAAAGGGTCCCCAGCAAAATGCAGAAGGAAGGACTAACTTACCCAAATTATAAAATGCATATTTTTTTTAATCACCTTTAGTTGAATGTAGCCACGCAGACAGTTTCTGTTTGGAGATTTCTACCTCCATCAAAATGCAACATATTATTTATAGAAACATCTTTAATCAGGATAAGCCACAGAATATGCTTTTCAGTGTTATATTCAGGTGAGTATGTTAGTCTGTTGTTGCTTGTTGATGCTTGATGGTCTGCTTTCAGCATAGTTTTTGAACCTTTGGGTGATTCTGGAGAATATTCTGGACAGTGTTTGTTATTGATTTGGATTGTTGCAATAAAAATAAACATACATTTGAATAAAACAAACATATTTGCCACTCCCATGTTGATAAGAGTATTAAAAACTTGAAAAATATCACATTTAAGGTACATTTAGTTTGAGTCATTTGATTGCAAGTTAACTATGACAAATCATGCATTTACTTGGGATTTTAATTGATTGACAGCCCTAAAATAAATATGATCACTTACAAGAATGTTGATCATTTCAAGCTGTGACTTCCAACCTTTTTCATTTATGTTCTCTTCATACAAAACAGCGTCCGTCTACTTGTTCCCCTTTATCACAGGCTGACTGAGCTGTGAGCAGTCATGGGTGTAGATTTTGGGGGGAGATGAGTGCACACCCCCTTTGTGGTGGTACTGATTCCCAAGATTTCAGCTGGTAAGGAAGAAACCTGTGAACCAGTTCACACCCACATCATATAGAAAATATTCACCAGGAGGAAGAAATCTCACGAGAGAGAGGTCACAATGGGAAAAATGTTTGTCTTGTTTTTTCTTTATTTAGTGTCTTTTTATTTATTTTTAGGGTCCGGGCAGACACTATTGTAATCCTAGGTATTCTTTTTCTTTCTTCTTCCGAGGAAATCATACTTCCCATGGCTGAAAACTCACCAAACTTTGCACAAAGGTCCAGTCTCATGCCAGATATCCTCAGCTGTAAACTCGAGCCAATAGTCCTGATGGTGGCGCTACAGCAAGCGTCTAAAGTTCAAAACTTTGAAAATTCACAACAAATCAACCATACGTGCTACAACTTTCATCAAACTGTAGCCCCAATACTGAAGAAACTTTTGTACATTTAAACCTATTAAAAATTATGAAGTTCATCACTCTGTTTTTTTTTCAAAAACTGTAAAACTTATTAAACCTATCTCCTCCCACAATTTTTGCTCAATTGACACCAAACTTGCTACAGAGCATCTTCAGACTGTCCTACACAAACTAGGTTTCTCAGATTTTTGATTTATCAAAAATTGAGCCTACAGTGCATCAAAATGTTTGACTGTAAA